GAAATTGCTGTTAATAATTAATATAATTTCTGTATAACATGCATATCTTGCTGATTAGACATTTAGAGGCTAGTTTTCCTCTGCCTTAGGTTATGAACTTTGGGACAGCAATCAATGTGCCCCGTTTTTTAAAAAAATTTGCTTGAATACCATGCGATTTGTTGAAAGAGTTTGTTTTTAATTTAAATTACTGTTAGAGTTGTTTAAATGTATAGATAAGATTAAGTTGTTAGGATAGTTTTTCCTATTATTGTTGAGTAGTTTGTTATACTTACTTGTATAAATACCTCATTAAGGAGGATACTGAAATCAATGAAGAAGAATTCTTTTATACCTGTAGTCAAGTTCTGACATTGTATATTTACAAAAAAAAAAAGTTCTGACATGGTATCAGAGCGTTCGAAATATCACCGCCTCCCACTTTCTTTGTAGTGGAATTTCCACATGTAGGTGGGCTTGTATGTTGTCCACCCTTCAAGCCCAGTGGGCTCTCCTGTGAGGGGGCATGTTAAGAAATATAGTCTCACATTGGTTGTATGGACAATTAATGTGAAGTTTATAAGGCCTTGAGCACTCTCATCCTTTGAGCTAGCTTTTGGGTGGTGACCTCAAGGTTCTTAACATGGTATTAGCCTTAAGATCCTAGGAAAAACACCCCAGTTTTATTTTTTTCTTTTTCTCCCCATTACTCGTACCTAGCCCTCTTTCTTTAATTTTTTTTTTCCTTATCCTCACCCGACCCGAATCTACCCCCCTTCCTTTAGTTTTTTTTTTTCAAAACCTGACCCGTACCCATTCTCTCTTCCCTAACCTAAACCCCAAATTCCCATGGCCGACAACACCTCTCCAGAAATGCCCCCTTCCTCCCCAACTGTTGAATCAACACCTGCACCTACACCTTCGAACATATTTATCCAGCATGATAACTCATCTTTTCCCATCTCCATCCTTCTCGACGACAGTAATTATCCTCTCTGGTCTCAACTAATGGACATGAGGATTGGCGCACAGAACAAATCGGGCTTCCTCACCGGTGCGGCCACGAAACCTGCCCCTTTTGATCCGTTGTACGATGCTTGGATCATAGATAACAAACGGGTGAAGAGTTGGTTAATCGATTCCATGACCCCTCCGCTGATGCAAAGATTCATCCGCCTCGAATCCGCATATGAAATTTGGAACGCTGCCCTCAGAACCTTTTACGATGGTTCTGATGAAACTTGCCTCTTTGAACTCAACCAGAGATCATTCCCCGCCAAGCAAAACGGTCGACCACTTCCCACCTACTATAATGAGCTTCTCTCAATCTTTCAGAAGATTGATCACCGTCTGACTTCCTCTGCTGCCACCTTGAATGGTGTGGTCGAAACACACTCCTTTATGTCTCGCATGCGCGTCCATCTGTTCCTGAGTGGATTGGACTCCGAATTTGAACAAGTTCGAGGAGAAATCCTCTGTAAAGACCCCAAATTGGACCTCGAGAGTTCGTATGCTTACGTCCGTCGGGAACACCAACAATGCATCACTATGGGCCGTCCTCCACCCACCGCCGACTCTTCTGCTCTGCTATCCCAAGTCCCTCGCCCCTCTGTGGTGACAATCCCTCCAAAGAGCCGTAAGGAAGGCCTCTCTGGAAAAACTCTTGCATGCACCCACTGTGGAGAATCAGGCCATACAAAGACCAGATGCTATGAAATCGTGGGATATACTGAATGGTGGGATTTCACCAAGCGTCCTCGAAGGAAGGTAACATCGAAAGCTGTTCTGACTCCTACTATCACCCTTTCCCCAGTTCTTGTTGTTCCCTCTTTAGATTATAATTTACTCTCTGTCAGTAGACTCACCACTCATCATAATTGCAATGTTATTTTCTGGTCCACATTTTGTATTTTTCAGGACGTCCAAAATCAGACGATTCTTGGCTATGGTGTTAGGCGTGGCAATCTCTACTTCTTGGAACTCCCAGATGATGACTCTGTTCCCTGTGGCCGAGCCTCTGCCTCTACGACTCCAGGTTCATCACCCTCCTCTGCTGCTTGGCTTTGGCATCACAGACTTGGTCACCTTTCATTTAGTTATCTTAGAAAATTGCTTCCTAGTTTATTTCCCAATTTCAATTCTTCTGAATTTCAATGTTCTGTTTGTGAAATGGCTAAAAGCCATAGAATTCCTTTTTACCCAAGTTTGAATAAAAGTAGCATTCCCTTTCAAGTTGTGCATTCTGATGTGTGGGGACCTGCCAAGGTCCCATCTTTCTCTCACTCGTATTATTATGTATCGTTTATTGATGAATGTACAAGAATGGTTTGGATCTCTTTATTAAAAAATAAAAACAAAGTCTTTCCCGCCTTTAAAAAATTCTTTCACATGATCCGCACCCAATTCAATAGCTCCATTCAAGTCCTCCAATCCGATAATGGCCTTGAATACAAAAATGGTGTCTTCTCTGAATTCTTGCAATCTAATGGTATAAAACACCAAACCTCCCGTGTCTACACACCGCAACAAAATGGATTAGCGGAGCGTAAAAATAGACAGCTATTGGAAATAGTCCGGGCCTCTCTCTTTGATATGAACGTACCTTCTTCCTATTGGGGTGAGGCTGTCCTTTCTGCTGCGTATATTGTAAACCGAACCCCCCTCTAGTGCTTTGAATTTTCTCACCCCTCAACAGAAACTTGAGACCTTCTTTTCCATTCCCCATACTCTGAATCTTGAGCCTAGAATATTTGGATGTACCACTTATGTCCACATTCGCAAACCCCTACGAAATAAACTTGACCCTTGTGCCCGCAAATGCATTTTTGTAGGTTATTCGGATCTCAAAAAAGGATACCGTTGCTATGATCCAAAAACTCATAAAATGCATGTTACTCTCGAAGTCTCCTTCCATGAAACCGAGGCTTACTATTCAGGGGGAGTCACTTCTTCTCTTTACCAGGGGAAGATTCACCATATTGGAGAAGCAGAAATCCAGTTGACTCCTAATCCAGCCTTACCTATTCCCATAAACAGTCCCACAAATGAAAATCCCTCTCAAGACCCCACCTCTGAACCTGCTGAAACAATATCTTCCAGTACAGATTCTCCTCCATCAAATGAGATGCCAAGAAGCAGTGACAGCAAAGAAGCACTTCTCTGCTGTGATCCTAAGGCTGGTCTGATTTCATCCTCCCCCTTGGTGCAGAGACTGTTAAAAGAGATCCATGGTTTCGACCAAGTTAAACTGGAATTTATTCCAAGGCATTTGAATTGCTGTGCTGACAGTTTAGCTAAATTAGGTTTCAATAGTAGGGAAGGAGAGTTGGTGTTTTTTCACTCTCCTCCCACTAGTATTCTTCCTTTTTGGAATGAGCTTTGTAAAGAATTTTTGTTGGAGCATGTTTCTGTGAACATGCTTAAGCTTTCTATATAGTATTTCTGGGCTAGGCCCTCCATTTTTACCAAAAAAAAAAAAAAAATCTCTGTACTTTTTTTAAAGTCAATTTTTTAATTAGTGAAGAACTACATTAACATTTTCCAATATTAAAGAATGAAGGCTGATGACCACTATTACAAAAAATAACACTTATCTTTTTTAGTATAGCCAATGATCAGTATAGGAGGTTCAGATTTCTAGACACTCCAGCGCAGCCTATGGTAGGTTTTGAAAATTTTCTGTAAGAAGTCAAATGGATACTCCATGGCTAATTTTGCCCAAACCTTGGTTGCTGAGTTCATACTGTCATTTGTTGGATTTGCTTGCGTATGGGTCCTGAACGTGATGAATCTTGTTTGTGCCTTAACATTTGGGGACTGCAACTATTGTAATAATTGCAAAGCACTTGGCATCAGATATGTAAGGGGCTAATGTGTAAAACCTGTTATAAGTGCCCAGTATCAAGAACAACTCTATTAAAGGATTAAGGGTGAATTAGTGTTAGTATAGTAGTTTATGAATATAGGTTTTTGATGTAGCAATAAGCTATAGCACTCGAGGTTCAGAAGAAAAGGATGGGTGAAAGAGATCGAATCCCAGCCCAAAAAGGGAACATAGATGAAATTTGTTTATTATTTTTTTTAAAGCTGGAATAAACTTTTATTCCCTTGATATCCTAATTAAAGACACATCCTAGCCCCTGGAATAAACGTCACAAGCAAAATATAAAATATCATTGCTCCAGCACAGGTGCTATAGTAGTAGTGTGAACGACGTTTGTGTAATAGTAGTGTTATGAGTAAGTAACCCAATTTATGATTATAATTCCCTTAGTCCTTCATCATTTTTCTGTTCTTTGATTGCTATTTTCTTCCTTTTCTTTTCCTGTTACTTGTCAAAACAGTAATCCTGAATTTGTCTTACAAAGTTCTACTTTTTTTTTCCCAGGGCAATCGGCAATCACTGTGAGACAATTTTGAATATGTTCAGGGCGTGAAAAAGCGTATGACCGTTGCCAGTTTTGAGTATCAGATTACAAGGAAAGAATTGCTGTTAATAAGGGCTTTAGCCCTTTTTATGTACCAAAAAAAATAAAAATTGCTGTTAATAATTAATGTAGTTTCTGGATAGCATGCATGTCTTGCTGATTAGTCAATTAGTCATTTAGAGGCTAGTTACTCCTCTGCCTTATGATATGAGCTTGTTATGAATTGATCATTAGCATGAATGAATGAATCCATTTATGTAGCTTGTATGGTACCAATCGTTGCATGTTGTTTGCAAATAGCAGCTCACTAATTAAAAATGAAAAATGATAATGAGATAATGACTGATTATATGCATGCGAATGTTTCAGGTATAAGTAGTTCTATAGTACCCATCTGTGGATGTTGTTTCCAAATAGCAGTTCCCTAGTTAAAGATGACCGTGGTCATTAGATAATAATTTGATGTGATAGTGTATATTAAGCATTTTTTTTTTCTTTGGCCTGATGGTCATCTGATTTATTATTGGCTTTGGATTGTAGGGAACTAAATATTTCATTTGGTGGGGCTACTGATGATGCTGAAGGGAGATCCTCTCATTGCAACAAGTTTGAGCTTGATCGTTTCTTCTCATAAGGAAAGTCTGAAAGTTAAGCAAAAAAAAAACAACGAGGATGTGAAACTTTGTTCAGCAGCAGCTGTTTCTAACTAATGTTTGAACCCGATGTTCAAAACGTCTCAGTTTATAAAAGCCGAAACCAAATATCTGGTGATTTGATTATACTCATTCCCGGGGTTTGTATCTTTTGGTAAGAGAAAAATTACTCTTATATTACATGTGATAAATTTCTTTCCTACACACCCTTTGATAACTGTCACTTTTTTTCTTTTCTTTTATTTTTATTTTTCAGGTGGTGGAGCCCACAAGTTTATTTTTATGACATGAGAAAACTTATCTCCTTTAACATGAGAGTAATAAAATATTTTTGGTAATCATCCAAACTTGATAAAATAACTTTAGGCAGAAATCATCTACAAATATGTAATATGGCTGACTTTATTAGAGTCAACATGAATCATAAACTACTCTTATTATGATACTATCCAAACTCCCATATATTACAATCATAGATAAGTTCAGATAAGAAAACATGACTTATTGTATTCAAAAAAAAAAGAAAAAGAAAACATTTATTAATGTCTATGGGGAGTTCAGAATGTAGAATATAAGCTCAATATAATTTAACCCTACTAAGATCACAAACGTTATGAGTAATGGTAGAAGAGAACATATAAATTGACAGATGTTCTGGTTGTGGCAAGCACCCAAGTGAGCTGGTTCTTCACATGCGTGGCAAGAGAAGGCACCGCATCTGCATTGGACAACGAATAATATGTCAGTCACTAAACAAAAAACACAAAGGAGAATATGAAAAACTGGGCAACAAGATAACCTGCAATGAACAATTTTGCAACCTCCAACACGCTCAACACATTGACCACATTTATAGCATCTAAACCATCTTTTTCTCTCCATGAGTTGTCCAAACTCAACATCATTCTTATCCCTGAGCTGTCCACTCTCCTTGCACCTATACCCTGCATGCCAAGGAATCTGACACTTGAAGCAGAAGTATTGCTTGCAATTGGGGCATTGGACTTTCTTCACATACTTGGCTTTGCACTCATTGATAACCAAAACTGAGCATGCTTGATAAGGGCAATATGATCGGTCTTGAACCTCTAAAATTGCTGAATTGCAAAGAGCATCCAACCATTTATCAAACAATTGCTTGGAGATGATTGACCTGCAAAACACAGGGTCTAACAGTTGCTTGCAGTTCAAGGCAGGACATGGAATGTTCCCTATGTTCTCCTCTACCTTAATTTCTATGTATCTGGCTATGCAGTCCAAGCAAAAGGGGTGCACACAGTGGTTGTGGTTGTTGAAACGCTTGTCTAGAGAAAAGGGCTCGAAGCAAATGTCACATGTTGGCTCTGTAACCTGTGCTTGAAGGTCAATGGCCTTATTGGCCTCCCCATGTCCATGAGGTTGCAGTGAGTTACCCATGAAACTAGAAAACAAACTGGTTTGTGTGACAGTATGTTAGGTTTTATCCAAACCTTAATTTAAAATGTATGTGACAGTTTCTTATTTTGTTGAATCCTTTTTAGTTATTATATCTATTTTTCAGGCAATGAGGCATAGCCTCATGTCCTTCAAATTGTTATATCTATCTCTATCTTCTTTCAGACAATTTTAGTAGTCGATATTGTTGAAAGAAATAGATACGGTGAAATCATATAACACATGTGAATTAATTTATGCGATTGAATTTTTATGACATACACTACTAGAAAAGTCAAGATTTTCGACGGAAAATATTCCGTCCAAATTAAAGACGGAAATTTCAACGGAAAATGTATTCCGTCGATAATTTTTGACGGAAATTATTTTCCGTCGAAGATTTTCCACGGAAATCTGATTCCGTCGAAGATCTTCTACGGAAAAATAATTCCGTCGAAAATAATTTCAAAAAAATAAATCGAAAAGAAATTAATTTTATGAATTTTTCGACGGAATTCTAATTCCGTCGAAGATTTTCCACGGATATGGAATTCCGTCGAAAACAATTTCAAAAAATAAATAAAAAAGAAATTAATTTTATGATATCTTCGACGGAAAACTGATTCCGTCGAAGATTTTCTACGGAAAAGTATTTCCGTCGAAAACAATTTCAAAACAATAAATCAAAAAGAAATTAATTTTATGAATTTTTCGACGGAATCTCAATTCCGTCGAAGATTTTCCACGGAAAAAGAATTCCGTCGAAAACAATTTCAAAAAAATAAAACAAAAAAGAAATTAATTTTACGAAATCTTCGACGGAAAACTGATTCCGTCGAAGATTTTCCACGGAAATAGAATTTCGTCGAAAACAATTTCAAAAAAATAAATGAAAAAAGAAATTAATTTTATGAATTTTTCGACGGAAAACAGATTCCGTCGAAGATTTTCCACGAAAATGGAATTCCGTCGAAAACAATTTCAAAACAAAAAATAAAAAAGAAATTATTTTTATGAAATCTTTGACGGAAAACTGATTCCGTCGAAGATTTTTCACGGAAAAGAAATTCCGTCGAAAACAATTTCAAAAAAATAAATGAAAAAGAAATTAATTTTATGAAATCTTCGACGAAAAACTGATTCCGTCGACGATTTTCCACAGAAAAGGAATTCCGTTGAAAAAAATTTCAAAAAAATAAAACAAAAAAAAAATTAATTTTATGAAATCTTCCACGGAAAACTGATTCCGTCGAAGATTTTCCACGGAAATGGAATTCTGTCGAAAACAATTTCAAAAAATAAATGAAAAAAGAAATTAATTTTATGAAATCTTCGACGGAAAACTGATTCCGTCGAAGATTTTCTACGGAAAAGTATTTCCGTCGAAAATAATTTCAAAACAATCAATCAAAAAGAAATTAATTGTATGAATTTTTCGCCGGAATCTCAATTCCGTCGAAGATTTTCCACGGAAAAAGAATTTTGTCGAAAACAATTTAGAAAAAATAAAACAAAAATGAAATTAATTTTACGAAATCTTCGACGAAAAACTGATTCCGTCGAAGATTTTCCACGGAAATGGAATTTCGTCGAAAACAATTTCAAAAAAATAAATGAAAAAAGAAATTAATTTTATGAATTTTTCGACGGAAAACAGATTCCGTCGAAGATTTTCCACGAAAATGGAATTTCGTTGAAAACAATTTCAAAAAAATAAATGAAAAAAGAAATAAATTTTATGAAATCATCGACGAAAAACTGATTCCGTCGAAGATTTTCCACGAAAATGGAATTCCGTCGAAAACAATTTCAAAAAAATAAATTAAAAAAGAAATTAATTTTATGAATTTTTTGACGGAAAACTGATTCCGTCGAAGATTTTCCACGGAAATGGAATTTCGTGGAAAACAATTTCAAAACAAAAAATCAAAAAGAAATTAATTTTATGAAATCTTTGACGGAAAACTGATTCCGTCGAAGATTTTCCACGGAAAAGAAATTCCGTCGAAAACAATTTTAAAAAAATAAATGAAAAAGAAATTAATTTTATGAAATCTTCGACGAAAAACTGATTCCGTCGACGATTTTCCACGGAAAAGGAATTCCGTTGAAAACAATTTCAAAAAAATAAAACAAAAAAGAAATTAATGTCATGAAATCTTCCACAGAAAACTGATTTCGTCGAAGATTTTCCACGGAAATAGAATTCCGTCGAAAACAATTTCAAAAAAAGAAATGAAAAAAGAAATTAATTTTATGAAATCTTTGACGGAAAACTGATTCTGTCGAAGATTTTCCACGGAATTGGAATTCTGTCAAAAACAATTTCGAAAAAAATAAATGAAAAAAGAAATTAATTTTATGAAATCTTCGACGGAAAACTGATTCCTTCGAAGATTTTCTACGGAAAAGTATTTCCGTCGAAAACAATTTCAAAACAATAAATGAAAAAGAAATTAATTTTATGAAATCTTCGACGAAAAACTGATTCCGTCGACGATTTTCCACGGAAAAGGAATTCCGTTGAAAACAATTTCAAAAAAATAAAACAAAAAAGAAATTAATTTTATGAAATCTTCCACAGAAAACTGATTCCGTCGAAGATTTTCCAGGGAAATAGAATTCCGTCGAAAACAATTTCAAAAAAATAAATGAAAAAAGAAATTAATTTTATGAAATCTTTGACGGAAAACTGATTCTGTCGAAGATTTTCCACGGAATTGGAATTCCGTCAAAAACAATTTCAAAAAAATAAATGAAAAAAGAAATTAATTTTATGAAATCTTCGACGGAAAACTGATTCCTTCGAAGATTTTCTACGGAAAAGTATTTCCGTCGAAAACAATTTCAAAACAATAAATGAAATAGAAATTAATTTTATGAAATCTTCGACGAAAAACTGATTCCGTCGACGATTTTCCACGGAAAAGGAATTCCGTTGAAAACAATTTCAAAAAAATAAAACAAAAAAGAAATTAATTTTATGAAATCTTCCACGGAAAACTGATTCCGTCGAAGATTTTCCGTCGAAATCTTCTATGTGTTTGGCTATGCTGTCTGATAAGTCTCTTAATTGAGACTTAGAGCATATGATTTAATTGGAAAATGAAGAGAAAAATATTTATTTTGCTGTAAAATACCCCAAAAATGGAGTTGTTGGATCTTTTGTGAATTAATTGTTAATGGGCTGTAACATTTCATTTTATAGGCCCATTTTCCTTTTGCATCAGAAATACCCATGAAAGGAAAGAAAAGAAGACAGCATGAGAAGAAGAAAAGGAAGTGATGGGCCGGACCTAAAAGACTAAAGCCCAAAAAGGAAAGGAAGAAAGAAGCAAAAAGAAAAAGGAAAGAAGGAGAAGTAGTCTGAAGCAGAAACATGAAGAAGAGAAAAAAACGAAAACCCTAACGAACCCACATCGTGCAATCAGAACCCACATCCTCCATCCCTAATCCCTACCCCAAATCGATCCAGAAGGTCAGAATATCCTTTGACCACGGTTCATTTGTCCAAATTAACCCATCATACCCACAGTCCATGAAGGAAAAGAAAACACGAAAACCCTAGCCACTATTTTTGGATTCAGAAAAAGCCAAACAAAGATCCGTTACTTAGTGGATGCTGGAGCGATTGTGAGCACACGTCAGTGTACGGGTTGAAGGAACGACAATTCCATCCGGTTTGTAAGAGCAGAGGAGTGGAGCACTGTGGGGACCACCCATTTGCAGCGCACAAGAAGCGCGTCATATTGCTGAGCTGGAGAAAAAGAGGATAGTGTGCAAAGAGCCCTATAAAAAGGGAAATAGGAGTGAGTCATGACGTTCTTCCCTCTCTGGGTTTCGATTTACTGTTTTTAGTTTTATTGTTTTCTGAACAATTTTAATTTTATTTTCTTTTAAGTTCTGTCTTGTAATGAGATTCTGGTTCATCTGATGAACTTGATGCATGTCTTTACAGCACTGAGATTGCCGGTTGTTAGGCCAATGCTGTAATTTAGTTTTTAGCATTTTTATTTTGTGATTTCTTTAGTTTTCTGTTACTGTTTGTAAGCTTCATCCTTATGAGACTTCAAAATGAAACTGCGATCAAACCACTTATCCAATGGCTACTAAATTTTACAGAGTTGTAGCCCTATGTGTTAGCTTTACATAGGTCCAAACCTCACTCAATTTGGAGCTCTGTAGCTCGAGATATCGCAATTTTACTAAACTATGTCGTTGCTGTCACATTTGCACTAGGTAATCGATTACCATACAGGGGTAATCGATTACCCTTCATGGTAATCGATTACCACTCAAAGGTAATCGATTACCACCTGTGCAGAAACGCGAAAATGCATATTTTTCTGCATAATCCGAGCTCCAATGGCCTCCCAAGGTTCCCAAGTCCGGTTTTTCCTCAAAACAGATATTTATTTACACTTATTAGCCTTAGATTAACAACCTTTAACATGATTAATCAAAGTTACCTCTTTTCATGGAATAAACAAGCTATTTTCAAGAAATTTCAAAGGGAATGTTCAAGGTATACCTATGGGGTCCTTGAACTCAGAAAAGAAGAGCCTTTAATGCTTAAAGAAGTGCCCCAAGCCTCTGCCTTAGTGGTGCACGAAAATCACCACACAAAGGTAAGTTCTTTCCCTCCAAAGCTTGGTTCTTTAAGCTCCAATAGAGATGAAATGTACTCACACTCCCACAACCAAGGAGGCAGCTCCCAACACTCAGAAAAACAGCATCTTGAGCTCACAAGAACACTCTCCCCACTTCCCCAAAGCTTGTCACAAGCTCACTCAATGATGGAGAAAGGCTTTCAAGAAGAAAAGGTGGAGTCTTTGGCTTAAAAATGAAGAAAAGCTCCATCTTTGCAATGGAGAAGAAGGTGGCAGCCAAGGGAAATCAGAAACTCACGTAGGAAGGCTTCAAATTCTGACCTAGAAGTGTGTGCCCCTTGTATTTATAGGCGCGCTTAAGTTAATCGCGCAGTATTAGCGTTAATAGCTACG